GAGGGGGGAGGATATATGGGTAACCCACATACATACGAATGTTGGCATATCACAGACACTACATCCTTAAAAAATTCCATGTTTGCTGTCCCCCGACCCATGATTTTTTTTAGTGAGTAGGTAGGTAGGTCTTTCTTTTTATGTGTGAGGCATAATAGTTATTTTAAGTCTGTCCTCATGTTTGCCACACATGCTTTGTGTTTCAGTCTTAACTATGAGAAATGTAAAAAAAATGAAACCCAAAATGTAAAAAAAAACTTTTGGGTCGCGGCTATTTTCGTGGGTCGGTCGGAGGACAGCAAACATAATTTTTAAGGATGGCCTTGTTGATTCTCATCCCTGGATAGGTTTAGAGTTGAGCACAAACTCATCCGCTTCCACTGACAGGAATTTGACGTATGCCATGTATTTCCCTGGGCAGGAGACTTGACCCCTTGCCTGTCTGACACGCCCCTCCCCCCACACACACCTCTCATACTCCCTCAACCACATGTGAATAATGACAAACTTGTTATTGTTCACCCCTGACCCCAACCCAACCCTTAATTTCAAAATTAAGAAGCCTCATTAGCACAATTTTTTTAATTAGCCAGTATAAGAATGCTGTTCCATTAGCGATAAACATGTACAGCGACAGGATATTACATGGTTATTTAATAGCTACGTCCTATTATGGGTATACACGATACAATGCGATCGTGTTAACGATCAACCATTGAACTGTGTGCATCACAACACACTCGATATTAATTAAAACGAGGATGTTATCGCCAGACATTTTAATTAAAATTTGGTCTCTAATTAATAGTTGAACTCTGGTGGTACCGTCCGCGGATGTACTGGACTGCATGGCGTGCCACGCTGAAAACGCGTCTGCTGGCTTGACCGTCATCACGAGATTAATTTAACACAACTTTTGCTGGCGCCATGATAATAACATTTTCCCCCAATCATGCACGCTATAAACTAATACATTATGAGACGCTGGGCAGCATAGCAGTGCTTTTGTTCCGTTGTCTTCCTGGCCCTGTTACTGGTTAGCACGCTCGCTCTCAATCCCTACCCTCGTCTCATCGTGTACCTTTACTCGCGTACACGCTCATGCGATTATCACTGGTATGACGTGCAGCATATATGCTGGTGACACTGACAACAAATATGACGCCAGTTCCCAGTCATAGTAAACAACTGGTGATGCTGACAGCAGCTTTCACTTAGAGTAAACAACATATATGAGAACAGTTCTCATTTATATAGCAAACAACAAATGATAAAAAATCTAGTTGATAGAAAACAACTGGTATGATAAATCAACAATGATATAAAATACTTGCGAGTGTTGATGTAGGAACAACTGACAAGGAAACTGCAAAGATTCTAAATTCATGCTATGCAGTAAATCAAATTAGTCAGTGCATGCCCATACAATTCTGATCATGTTTAAGTAGAAAACGTGAAACAAATGCTGGATTATCACGAAAAAGTAACGAATTACGTAGAATTGCACAAAAAAAGAAATGTAGTTCGTACGGCATGACAGAGAGTGAATTGTTAGAGGCTGCTTAGAGTCTAAGCACTTTATTAGATTATTATAAATTCCAGACGTGCTAGAAAGTCAAGTTTATCTTCTGCCGTAAAACAAAACGTGACAATAAGCAATGACGTCACGCAGAAAACCAGTCAGGGAGAGAGGCGACACGGAGAGCGGCGGTCCAAGGAGAGGTAGCGAAATATCACTCCAATGCAGCTTTCTCCTTCTCAGAGGGCGCTGCTATACCCCGATGGAATAAGTAGAGAGGGCGTTTCGCATGTGTTACACTGACGAAACGTTAAAGCACGATATAGCACGGAGCAAACGGAGCAAGCGGAGCAAGCGGAGCAACGGAGCAAGCGGAGCTAACCACAGAGATAGAAAATTGACGCCATTATATGGTTTTCAGACGCAAATAGAAAACGTTGTTACTGCGCGGCAGTTACCAGTTATTTTAAGTCACGATAATTCAGCGAATGCAACCCAGTTTTCCAAATTGATGACAAAAATCGCGTTTGACAGGTTAGCAAACAAACAAGTTATTTTGAAATTTCCTGATGCTTACAAAAAAAAAACCCACACAAGACAGCATGCATTAGGCCATTAGCTGATGCGATCTGTAGCGTAGGCGCCCCCGCTGACGCGTGACTGTAAGTGTATTTACCATTTGAGCTCAGACAAAATGTTCGGTCCGTAATTGGTCACACAAGGTTGGGAAAGGTTGATGGCGTGGTAATCCCTCCTTGCTCGTAACGCCGGCTTTTGCCGACCAGTAAATTTCTCGTTTAAAATGGTTTTACGAGTTTTCGTAAAAGTGAGCTGCTAAAGACGCAAGCCTGTATTTGGTTTCAACATTTCAGACGTCGTGTTTTTTTTTAGAAATAAATGACGAAATCATGACGTTTACGTATAGTTATGAGTACGAATTGTTAAGGAGTATTTTCTGTGAGTCGATAGGTTAGTTTGCCCTGTTGTCCGGTCGGTTTGGGGCTAGGTGTGGTCAGATGGAAGTTACCCTCAATGAACAATGTGAATATATATTTTAGTAGCTAAAGACGTCACTACTTTTTTCACATTTCCCATAATTATAATACACATTACTGACTAATATCGATAGTAGTAATACGCATCATGAAATACTTTAATTCAGTCCGCGTGTCTGTCATGCGTCGTGTTTCAGCGTCGACCACGGTTTCCATTGTTAGACAGTTTGTGGCAGCTCATCACGGCTTACCACTGATCGCAGTCTCGCTCCACTGCTGGTCCTCGGCGCCATCTTTGCTCCCAGAACCAGACTCTGAATCGATCATCTGTAACGCCTCTTCGTCCGATATCCCATCCTCGAGTACAAACTCCACCAGGGGCAGCACCTCTGCGCAAAAACGACAATCACAAATTCGCATGGAATTAAGCAGTTTCAACGGAGGGTAACCATTTCCATCATAACACTTCCCGCGTTTTTGATTGAACACTCGTTGCTAGGACGTAAATATTTTCACATATTGCAATATATCTAGCTGTGTTTCTGTGTCACATATCCTAAACTTGAGTTATAGTAGAATATAATGCAGGGTGCGAAATTAACAAGAGTCCGGAGTCAAATACTCCCCGATTTACTGTCGGACGACCTGATTTGACATATGCAGGAGTCCGTGTGACTCCCTGAAAATTCTGCCATATGTACTAGCTAGTTCGTTCCGGAGCATGGCCTTGCGGAATTACCGTATTTTTTCAGCTAATGTCCAAAGAAAATTTAGCAGACGTGCAACCGCATTAATCTTAAAAATAAGCACGTGTTATTGTTAATATCTTTAGTTTTGAACTTCAGACTGCAGACTCCCTCATTTTGCTGCGGACTCCCTCTTTTTGAGGGTAGGGAGTCCGTTAGAAAGTTAATTTCTACCCCTGAATAATGTATATGATACATGATATATGTCATAATGAGTATGAGTTTAATAAACACTAGTGTAGACTAGCGACATTACCGTAGGATATTTATATAATACATGATATATGAGTATGAGTTTAATAAACACTAGTGTAGGCTAGCGACATTACTGTAGGATATTTATATAATACATGATATATGAGTATGAGTTTAATAAACACTAGTGTAGACTAGCGACATTACCGTAGGATATTATATAAGTACAGTGATTTGAGTATGAGTTTAATAAACACAGTGTCGATAAGCGAACATTAGTAGGAGTCTTTATATAATACATGAATAATATGAGTATAGAGTTTAAATAAACCTAGTGTAGGCTAGTGACATATAACGTAGGAATTACTGTATATAATACATGATATTGATATCGAGTTTAAGTAACACTAGTGTAGGATAGCGAATACGTAGGAATATTATATATGATACGATGATATATGAGTTGCGTTTAATAAACACTAGTGTAGGCTAGTGACTTACGCAGTAGGCTAATGTAATATAATACATGATAATATGAGTATGAGTTTAATAACAACTAGTGTAGCTAGTGAGATTACCCGTAGAATATTATATGATACATGATATATGAGTATGAGTTTAATAAACACTAGTGTAGGCTATCGACATTACCGTAGGATATGAAGGAGAAGACAAATGGCTGACGACAGTTTCCGCAGCGGTTGTCCTGCGCCGCGCTGTTCAGTTGGTTATAGGTGGAGCACCGGTAGCACATCCGCTGTAACTCCTAGCGACAACAAACAACGAGGAGATCAGTGGAATCTTTTTTTGGGGTTTTCTAAGCAGCGATTAGTGGGCGAATCGTCAACCAATCCTCGCGCATAAGCGGTGCCTGCACCACCTAGCATTTGCTCTATGGCTTATCCGCAAAGGTATCTTAGTGATCTGCATCCTCTCGTCTCTCTCTCTCGTCTCTCTCATCTCTCTTTCTCTCTCATCGCTTTTTCTCTCTCTCTCTCTCTTCCTCTCTCTCATCTCTCTTCTCTCTCTCTTCTTCTCTCCTCTCCTCTCCTCATGCTCTCTCTTCTCTCTCTCGCTCTCTCTCTCCTCTCCACCTTCGTCACTCTCTCTACACACAGACACTACACTCTCCTCTCCTTTCTCTCCTCTTCGTCTCTCTCTCTAGTTCTCTTCCTCTCTCCTCCCAATCTCCTCTCTTTCTCACCCATCAGTTTTCTCTCTCCTCCCCATCTCTCGTCGTTCCTCTCTCTTCCAGATCCTTTCCTCTCTCTCGCTATCTTTCTTCATCTCTCTCTACTCCATCTTCTCATCTTCTTCCATCTCTCTCTGCTCTCCATCTTCTCTTTCTCTCTCTCTCTTGAGAGGCGGGGCTTCAATGGTACCATCGGTTCAGGCCCCGTTGCCGTATCTGACCTTGATGGTGCACACTCACACATCGCTGTCCTTAGAAGGCGGAGCTTAGGCGGAATGGCTTGAGCTTGCGATGTCGAGGTGCGGCTCTGCAATGTGTGGCGGGCACGCGGTGTTGCTGCAGACAGCTCGCACGTGTGCCGCGACAGCTCGGTAGCGATCCAGGTTCGACGCCAGCTGCTTCGCCGACCAAACAAACGTTTCTGTGCGGAGCGGCGGGAGGGGGGGGGTCAGGATCGTCGAACGCATGGTGTCAGCGAGAGCCGAGAGATGGACGCCGCCGGCGGAGAGGCGAGAGATGAGAACGCGTCGCTGAGTAGGCGAGAGATGAGACTGGAGACGTAGGTGCCGGCGAGAAGGTGAGAGATTAGAACAAGACACATTGCCGGACGGGCGCCGAAAGATGAAGCACCGGAGGAGGCGTTAGTGAGAGGGCGAAAGATGGACACGGGACAGGCGCCGGCGAGAGGCGAGCCGAGAATTAGAAGCACGACCATTGCCGTGAGGCGAAAATGAGAGCACACGCGACGCGTCCAGCTGAGAGGCGAAAGATGAGACACGGAGACGCGTCAGTGAGAGACGAAAGATGAGATGTGATGAGGCTAAGATGCAGAGGCGGGCGAGAGATGAGACACTTGGTCCTAAATCGGGCCTGTAATTTGCCAGAACATCACAAATTATCGCCCCTGAGTGGATGTCAGTGGTGTTTAACAAATTAAATTACGCGCCATAAAAAATTCCACAGCAACAAACAAACCATAGAGCCGAAAGCGTTCTGAGGCTTCATTGAGGTCTGTTTGCTTGACGATTATAAACTAAAATTTCAGTGTGCGTATAACATTTGTTACGCAGCAGATATGCACGACACGGCAGTTGCGTTACACGATCATTGTTAGGAACGCCCACTATGGCAGATGGAGGGTAAGTGGGAGGGTGGGGAGGGGGAAGAGCCGGGGGGAGGGGGGGGTGGGGGAAGGGGAAGGGGGAGGGTGGGGTGGGGGCTCTAATAGCAAAAGCAGGTATCACTCCTTTGTTTAACAGTCAAACAAAATCATGCTTTACATCCCTCCTCTTGAGGGTCAAAAGGTTATCAGAACACTTACTCTTCGCACGTCAAGTGAAAGCACATTTCAAGGTCCATTTCATAAAGCCTATAAAAATGGTAGGTCAAGCTGAAACACAAAAGTTTCAATTGCTACTTCCGTCAGACATGTCCTCCAGACATGTCTAAATGTCTGCCTGTGCCCATTGACCTTGTGACCTGTGACGTTCCAATTTCGGCAGTGATGGCTTTTCCTACCATGATGCTATAAAAAGCCATCCGACTTCAGCAGGGTTCATAGTAGTGAAGAGCACTGTTTGAATAAGGACTTATAAGACCCTTTCTGGAGGGTCCAAATAAGACTTTTTTTACGGCGATTTCTGATAGATCACCGACTATTAAAGTACACTAATATATTATATACACAGATGCACAGCAGATTTAATTATTTCGTATTATATATACAACAATACTGCAAAAAGGACTTTAAGTTACTTTCTAAGATTTCACTAAATAAGTAGCTACTAAGGGGCCGCTTATTTTTATTTTTGGCAAAATAAGTACTTATAAGAATTTGGAGAACCGCTACGAACCCTGTATAGCGAGCCTAGGTCGAGCCGTTATAGATTCTGTGCGCATCTGCATTTCCTCCCTATACCTTAAGTTAAGGAGTTGAATGTTCCCTTATTTTACCAAGCTCTTGACCTTTGACCTTTGAGCCCAGCAGCTTCGACATCCCAACTCGTTTTCGATTACCACCACGTCCCGAATATCGTGAGCGTCAACTCGAGCCGGTTAAGATTTGTGCCCAACTGTTTGAGACGGACAGGACGGACGGAGGGACGATCATGCGATTCTACAAGTCATCTGACTATGTCAGCTGAGGGCTAAAAATTAAGATGATTTGATTAAATTTAAATGAACTATGATGTGAATTAAACCGCGCACACCACACAAACAGAGTGAGTTAACCTGAATTAAGTAATTTCATCGGATCTCTATAGGATTCACATGCTAAACGTTTATCTCATTCAGATGCCAAAATAACGTTACACTGACGGAAATTTTTGTCCATCTCTTCGATGACTTCCTCTGTCGAAGTAAGTTATTTTTAACTTAATTTGATCTAAATGAGATCAACTTTATCAAACAGAGTGAGTAAAGGTTAAAGCTAAGGATACACTTCGAACGCCGCGGTATTGTGGTGCCAATGCGTTGAGCTCGAAACAGAGGATATGTTGAATAAGGGCCTGGGCAGGTGTGATTAACGGTTTTTCGTCGCGTGTAGCGCTGGATCGAGTGGTAGGCATAGTAGACGCGAGGTCGTTGGAATCGCAGTCGAAACATCGCGCGAACATTTGCTCGTGTGTTGTCTGCGTCGTCTGCGAAGGACACAGGACACATCAGTGTCACTGCTGGAAAGAACTCACGCAGCACGGCCGCAGGCACACATAGGACACTCACATGCACGACACTCACTCACACACCAGCACCCGCCACGAACGCACGCACGCTACACATACAACTCCCACACGACGCACACGATACACACACACACCGCACGCACGCACACAAGCTCCACACATTGGCACACCATACACACACACGTGCGCACACGAACGCAAAGGAGGTCTAGACATCTATCATTAACATAAGGTTCTAAACATCTAGATAACAAATCTATATCCTCTAAGCTCTTGGTCCGCGCTCCACTATGTTAGTAGAGGCGTCTAGCAATACATTGACTATCCTAGCACAGATATAGCACTAACAACTGGACTGCTGGCTATGTCCAGACATTGATGGACAACATCCAGTAGTAGTAGGCCGCGTCGTTGAATCCGGTTTTCATTGACCGGTCATTCTGAGTGAGTTCTCCGAGTACCTTCACGGCATCTCCATGTTGTCCAGCCTTGTGAAATGCTGCGTAACACAGAGAAAATCGCATTTTCGTCTATATAGTTACGCAAGAAGCATCATGCATGTTGATGTTCAATCTAATTGCTGTTCGCCAGGGAAGTGGTGGGAGCGGGGTCGAAGATCGACAGTGGCACCGGAGTTACCAAATTTTCCAAGGGTCTTGCATGAATTAAGGCTCTAGCATTATACTCATCTACAGTCAATCCTTGTTAACAACGTGGTTATGCTCCAAATGGAAGCGTTTTTCACAACAGAAATAACTAAATAGGCCAGTTCTCACTTCGTTGTCCCTCACATGATACATTACAATAACAGTAAATTCAATAACATTTTTTATAGAAAATATATAATTACAATATCTAAAATTAGTGTTTTCATTAAAGGATAATAAAATCATTGTAGCTGTATTGGCCTCATTGATGGGCGCATGGTGTAGTGATGTATCTAGGAAGATGGAACAATGTCAAATGACGCAAATATTCGACAGACGTTATTCACACCAATAGCACTACAGTCTTATTTAGCCTACTTTTGTATGAACTTTCCTTTTCACCTCTAGTTGCTTCAGAGAAGATAAACGTCATAAGACTCGGGTGTAGCAGCGCACCACCACGCCATTCTGGCACAAGTGCCGTGCAAATCGGTTTTTTACCACCTGTAAAGATATCAGGAGTGTATCCTTATAAGTGTCTATATAGTTACAATCTGAAGATTCACAATATTTTTTGCATATTCTACTAAATTTGATGTAAAGTCGTAGTATTCAGCTCAGTACGAATACTCCAGTCCAGTTATTCCAAGTTTTTTTTGTTCGTAATACGATATCCCAGATGTATGAATCTAAATATATCTATCTTGTGTGTAATCCTGTGCAATAGACACGAACATGGGGCTGTACACACAGTGTTGGGTTGCGATGACGTTTGAATAAAAGAATCGGCCGTGTCGTAAACGACGTTACTCGAGTAACGTGCTTCTGAAGAATGGTAGCGTTAAGACGAAACAATGAGTTCACGGTGGGCAGGACCAGATTGATACGGTTCCTATGTTTACAAGGTTTCTGGCTTTAACTGTGACGCTCTCCATTACAGGTGTGATCACAACCGCTCTGGCAATGTGTAGCAGGCTAGCGCTTACCTATTACCTTCGATTTAATCGAGCCTAGTTTGCGTAAAGAAGATGACCTCTTAGATAATGATGCTGGATCGAGTAATGAAATCACTGCTTTTGTAGCAGTGCGTGCGACGAGCGCAAAAGTTACGATATTCGCACTTTCCTTACTAAGCGTTGTGTTTAGAACACCCTAACTCACGACCGATTGGCTAAGATGTACTCGTGACTATAGCAGGGTAAACAAGCCAATTGCTCGTGCATGCTCAGCGCTATAATAGCAAAATACACTTAATACTTATAACTTACTATATACTACTATATAACTTACTATATACTTATACTTATAACTTAATACATCAAATATATATATTTAATAATTATAATTAATAAATAATGTATTAAATAAAATTAAATATTTATATTCTCATAAACAAATACATTAATAAATAAAATGGTATATAAAATAATAATTAAATTAAATTATATATTATTCATAAATCAATACATTTAAATCAAATAAAATGTTAATAAAGTAATAATTAATTATATATATATTCATAAAACAAATACATTTTTTAAATAAAAAAATGTATATAAAGTAATAATTAAATTATATATATATCTCATAAACAAATACATTTAATAAATAAAATGTACATATATAATAATTAAATTAGATAGCCTAATAACAAAGGCGGCAGAGGTCTGGGCTCATTGAAGGTATTTTGCTACGATTATAGACCTAATTTCAGTTCGTGCGTAGTGACACATTTGTTAGGCGCAGATATGCACGACCCAGTTGCTACACATCATTGTTAGGACACGCCGACTTTATCCCCCATGCATTTTTGTTTATTTTATTAAATGATAATTGCCTTTCAATTCGAATTTGTGTCTACGATTCACAGCGTAATAAGATGTTCTTTCTTGTGTTTATTGTGTGTAGTGTGAGCGTGCGTGCGTCGCGTGGCGTGTGTGTGTAACGGTAGGAATCGATTTTAACTTCCTGTATCATGTATGATGTGGATGATATTGTTGAAGACAAATTACGGAGTATAAAGGTAGATAAAGTATGAAAAGTAACAAAACACTAATGTAATTTTAATACATTTTATTTTGTACCATAACATCGACAAATATAGTATTGCTGGTGCTAGAAATTCGTGAGCCTACTAAGGTGTGGCGCCAAATCCACTTTAGGGCCCTAGGTATCACGAATGATGCACGAGATTTCTGTTATCATCAACTGATGAAGACTTTTCGTGTATTCAAGGTGTCACGCCTTGATACGCATAAGGTGGCCTAAGTGGATTTGCGCCTAAGTTCTTGTCTAAGTTTTGGCGCTAAAGATTGGCTCTTTGCACGTAGCCGCTTCGAAGTTACTGTTTTGTTTCTATAACTGATATATTCGCTTTAAATGACTCACGGTGGGTTTTTTGCTTGAACATATCATTGTATAGCATTTTAAAATAGCAGT